CATATGAATTGCGATTCAGTCTTCTAGCGATTTGCATCGATTCACAAATTTCAAAAATCAATTTCCTAGTTAATATAATAAAAACAGCAACAGCAATGGAGGGGAAACAAATACATCCTACACTATTTTCAGCGAGGGCAAGTTTGGAAAAATATTATATTACAGTAATTATTGATCTTTTGTTATATTACCCTGGATAAAATCTATTGAGAAATATGTTTTTGCACACAGAATGGCGTGAGTACATCTTACGAAAAATAACCATGGTTTTACTACAAATAAAAAAACGCGATATTTTATCATTATTTACAGGCCTCCAAAATACTCTCCAGCCTTTGTTGAAGAGTTCACAGAAATGCTATCAAAGATAAGTGGACGTCCATGACATGCGGAGTCCCACAAGGCTCAATTCTTGCACCGCTCTTGTTTAGCCTGTATGTGCTCCCACTAAGTCAAATAATAAGCATACTATCATCATACTATCATTAGATGTTTGGTTTCCAGTCAAGACTTGGAGAAACTTGTTCATGTCTTTATCACCAGCAGGGTGGACTATTGTACTGGTCTCCTCACCGGCCTTCACAAGAAGACCCTTACGAAAAAGAAGTTTATTCAAGTGTGCTATTAGTATACTTCTTTTAAACTAAAAAATATATTTTTAGTCTACTTTTTATGTACTTCTCAGAAATGGGCTTTATGTTCATCTCAGAAATATACTTAAAATGACATTTAAGTATACTTGACTTATAGCCTACTTAGAAAAAGTCTAAATATATTTGAGCTATACTTGTGCTCCTAGAATCTGTGTTTTCATTGTTATACTGTAGGGTGCGCTAGTACACATCTTCCGTACAGAATTTCCAAAAAACACAAGTGAAGAAGAAAACGAAACAACAGATGCTTCCACATGTAATCTAACACGATCATCAGACATAAAACAGCATCAAAACTGTGTAAAGTTGATGTAATGTCGACCAATGAAGAGGTAATAATAACTGTCAAGCTTTGGGGTGTTGATCGACCTTATCTACGTTTTGATTATCATTCTGAATCCAATTCATAGTCTTTTTTTCAGCTTTTTGTTCAAAAAAGAAAATGTATTTCTTTTTTTTATTATTTATGAAACTTACCCACATTCAAGTGTTTAAAAAAAGAATGCATGAAGCTAGAATAAAATGTTTTTGTTTACAAGCAGATACCCTGTTCTTTTGATGTTTTGTATGTTCAGATATTCATGTAACAAAATATATACAAATTAATACCTAAATAGGGACATAGTAGTATACTTAAAGTATGATGTAAAGTTCACTTAAAGAAAACTTACGAGTATACTTACAGTATAAAACTACTAAACTAGTAGTTTACTGAGACTATACTTCAAAGTGTACTAAAAATGCTACAAGTATTTTATTAGTAAACTGTAAGTTCACTTTTAGTATAGTTGCAGTACAAACTAAACATTTTGATGTAAACTAGTTGTGTACTCAAAGTTTACTACTGTTATACTTAAAGTATACTTAAAAGTATACTTTTATATACTAGAAAGTGGGCCAATTTAGTCCCAAGGAGTATTGAAATAGTACACTTACAAGTATACTACTAGTACACTGATATTTGTATACTTACTACAATAAAGTATACTTAAAAATATACTTGAACTTTACTTAAGTATACTTACTAAAATAAACGAAGTATACTACTTTTTGGTAAGAGAATGCAGACATAGGCTACTGGGCAGCGATCACCTAAAAGATTAGTGCACATATTGTTCAAATGTCAAATATTGAATAAATGCATTTGATTGGTAAACCAAATTCAGACTTTACGCTTCAATCTCAAATGGTAATGCATGGAATTTACGGAAAAGCTCAACTAAATAACAACGCTAATAAGAGGGGGGCGTGGTGGCTTTGGCTATCGGCACGCCAGTCAATTTACCCCACAGCCAATCACAGTCCCCCTCCTTGCTCGGGCCTAGCCCAATGGTTAATACGGCCCTGGTTATAAATGTAAAAACTAAAAATTTTTTGTGTTTTTTTGTGTATGTTTCTTCTGTGTGAAGTTGTGTTCATTTGTTTCGGTTTGTCTCACACACTCACGGGCTGCGCGACTTTGTTTCTGTCAATATATTATTCATTATCAGTCACCGTTTACACCAAAAGTAATAAAATTATAATCATTCTCGCCGAAATTTCGCTGCTTCCTTAATTAGATGTTTTAATCAGATTAGTTGTCCGGTCGGGCTGGTAAAATTCTCTTTCTCTTGCCCCTTCAAAAAATCCACTTGTCCCAGACAAGCATTAATATCGAGCTCTGTTCCTGTATAAACAAAATTCAACCCGCCAAAGTGACCGTGTTTCCCGCCACTGCTGCGCACACAACGCCTCTACACTCGCTCCGGATTTCTCTCTACATGGAGACAGGAGTCAATACATGGGAAAACAAAGTAATTGGAGTTACTTGTTTGAAAAAGTAACTCAGATATTTTTTATGTAAATTAAAAAGTAATGCGTTACTTTACTAGTTACTCGAAAACAGTAATCTGATCGCGTTACCTGTAGTGCGTTACCCCCAACACTGAAGGGGTAATGGGACCTTATTAAAACATTATACTCTGAAAATAATATATATATATGAAATTACATTTCAAAATACTCCTAATCAGACTACATTTACTTTTTATGGATTACATGATTACATATTATTCACACAATAGCAATAAATTATTCAGAATTTATTGATTCTCCCTAACTCCTCTTCATCTTTTAAATTTTCCTTTCTAAAATATACTACCGCTTATATTCATTCAGAAAGTCTGTTTTGTGGACATTCACACAGAGATCAGTCACTAGTCAGGCGATTAGACAGCTGCAGCTCATCCAGAACGCTGCTGCCGGGATTCTGACTAGAACCAGAAAAGCTGAGCATATCACACCAGTCCTCAGGTCCTTACACTGGCTTCCAGTTACATATGGGATTGATTTTAAAGTACTTTTACTAATTTATAAATCACTCAATGGCCTAGGACCTAAATACATAGCAGATATGTTCACTGAATATAAACCTAACAGACCACTCAGTGATGTCCGAACTGGTTGCACTGTATTTGATATATAATCATGTTCTATCTTTAACTGTTTTACAGTTTTTTTCGATTGCTAAATGACAGTGGGCACAACTGGAGCTACATGTGCAAAACTCTAACTACAGTCTGCACTACCAACAGTCACCTGAGCTAAACAGTTCACATCACCTGCAAAACTCATTCCAAGCAACACACCTCTTAACACATGGCTCAAA